TGTGTGTGTGTGTGTGTAGGGTTGGAGTTTAATAGATCCACAATGCAGAAATGAAACTTCTCATCAAATCTGTCTACTCCTTTATTGACTCTTTTTAAATAGTCGATTCTTTCTTGAGAAAGCTAAATTTCTTAGTTGTTTTTTGTTCTACTATATCAAATTGTAACCCCTGTATAGTGATACATATCGCAGCAGCAGATTATCGCCAACACACACCTGCATCTAAATATATTACTTAATTAACCTTCTGTCCTTGTACCGACCACTAACAGGTGCCTCTCAGATAGTTACCAATTTGGAAGAAATATGTTTGATATGAGTATGCGTTGTGTAGTATGTCGAGTCACCAAATAACTGTCGAACAAGCATTTCTTCAGTAGCAAATAAGAGCTGTGCTTTACTCGGGTATGTTCTGTACCAGTTCAATGATGTAATTTAAAGTTGCTTAAGTACAATTCATTTCCATGCCTTGCTGATTACACACACAAACAAGAATAGCAGCTGTCCCTTGCTAGACTGGCAACTGCAATGTTGCTCAACTCTAGTTCACCTTGCAAAGATGCACCTGCCATGCTAAGCCAATTTACACAGTGCAGCTTCATCGAGATCTTTTTTTCTTTCACCTGTGTCATTCAAACTCTTTTAACCACTGTACACTCTGCACGAGGCTGGTTGAAAGTCTCCCAGTCAAACGTGCGTAAGTGACATCTCAGCTTCTGAATTTGGTTAATTTGTCAAAACATGTAGTGTGTGCACTTTGATAACTGAAAGAGGCAAAGTGTGATTGTAAGTGTAGTTTCATTCACTTCAACCTTTTTAGTAGCCCTAACCTAATCAGCAAAGCATTGTTCAACCCTGTGTGTGTTTGTGCACACTGTTGTGCATGCATACAATATACGTGTTTGTATTCCTATCTCTTTGGAAATATGCACTTGAAGAAAACTGTTGATGCTGATGAACCAATCTATTTACTGAAGCAACTACCTGCAAAGGCAATCAATGCAATGTCACCTCATGACAACATCAAGCATGTTTAAACAGGATATTTGCTGGACATTTTATCTTAAAAGGATTCCTTTGAAACGAGCACTAATTGGTAACCAAGATGTGGATTTGTTTGCAAGAGTTATTACTTGACCTCATAAACACAACTGGTCTTTAAACATATTGACCCATTGTATAAGCATGGATATTTAACTAGCAAAGAGCTAGAGGGAAAAAAGCACTGCAAACAAGAATGAGTTTAACAACAATTCCCCTATGTAACAGGCTACGTTTTAATCTAATTGTTTGGGACAGCCCAGTTAATATTCAGTAAACAGAAATAACCTGGTGCCAAGGCTGGTTATCATCAATGAGCACAGCAGTGTCGCACTGAAACTCATACTGACATAAGCCAGAGCCATATGGATGGTTGTCACATTTTTTAAAATCATGTTTTAAAACACTCTCATTTCATTCAAATATGTAGCATCACAATTGTGTTTGGGACAAAATTCAATCTTGTCTTTTGTTACAAAGAAAGCAGAAAATGTGCTTACTTAGATATTTCAGGAGCCGTAATTCCCCTTTAGTCGACTGCAACTACTGACTGAAGAGGCACGCACTCTGAGATTGAACTTTTACTATAACAACATTTTAAAGACCAACTTCTTCAACAGACATAGTGCTGAGGGCTGCCGGCTGTCTTGCTACTTCAACATCAAAAGCAATCTAATATTTGTACTTTCAAACTGAAAGAAAAAATGAAAGAGGAATAGGGACATCCTGTGTGTGTGTTGCTATGATTTGTACCAACAGCAAATCAACCACATGGGAGATTGAGTAACCAACAAAGTTACGTGTGCATGTGTGCCTCCCTCTCTCCCTCTATCAGTCCACCCTGACAGGAAATTATGCACACAGTCAGGACTGTTGTTTTTGTGAATCAAACCTTAACAGACCTGTTTTGGCGATATGTGCTTTTAAATGGCACTCCACCTACCATGAAAAATAAATAAAACTATAACAAGAGACATACAAGAAGAAGTCATAGTCGTGCAAAGTAATGACAGATAATACATAACCTCCCGTGTGACTAACAGCCCCTATAAAAGTCCCGTCTCAATGGTATTTTAGGTAAAAGGTAGTCGGATAATGTGTCAGATCATCAGTCAGTTCATAAATATGAGTGACACTCACACATAAAGTCTTTTGTGATTATGAATTTCTGCATTGAGCAAATTACAAAGAGTGTGTTACTAACAAGAGAAGTCAGAATTGCAAAATAAATCATATGCAACATTGAACACATGAACTCGAAAAAAAAATAAAAATAAGGAAACTTTGAAACTGAATGTTGGAAAACACAACGCAAGGTGTTCCAAGTTTCAGGTGACTGGTTGGAGTCCCTCCGAAGCACAAATGGGCATGAAACTGATAATACAAACGATGTATTAGAAAATACAGTAGGTCCAAGATACAAGCAAGCAAATATAAAAACATGTGTCCCAAAGAGCATTTTAGTAAGAGATATTTTTGATACACTTTCCCAGCGCAGATATTCCTGGATTTGAACTAGCAACATTCTGGCTTTAAGTCCAGTTATGACAAGACACACTGAGGGAAACAGGAAAGCGCCGCGCGTCCCTAGAGGGAAGAATGTATTCCTGTCCCTCAAGACTATTTGCATCCTCAGGAATGGGAAGACGATGTATTTGCAAGCGTCCATCTCTCAACCGCACTCCCACATGTCTTTGCCTGCCTCTGTGTGTGTGTGTGTGTGTGTGCAAAGGGGTGCATGGTCACTTACCACTTAGC